AAAAAGCGGCACAAGCGACTCAAAAAAAGCGGCACAAGCGACGCAAAAAAAAGCGGCACAAGCGAACGCCTGACCGTTTTTTTGAATACATAGTTCAGTATTGAGTCGTTTTTTTGAATACATAGATTACTATTGGGAGATCAGCTTCTCACTTTTGGGGTTTTCATTTTCTTTATTTTTTGATTTTTTTAAGTTCAAAAAAATCAAAAAAACATGAACTTCTCCCAAAGTATCTCTGAACCTCTTTTTTTGGGATTTCGTTATTTTTTGAATATATTGAATATGTTGGTTGTGTTGAATTTCAAAAAGACAAAATATTGAAAATATTCAAAAACATTAGCCAATATTCAAAAACATTAGCCAATACAAAAGTATAATGAACTTCTCCCAAAAGTCTCTCTGAAGCTCTTTTTTGGGGATTTCATTTTTTTTTGAATATTTTGAATATTTTGAATATTTGAATATGTTTAATTTCAAAAAATCAAAATATTCAAGAAATTTAGCCAATACAAAAATATTTTGAATATGTTGAATTATTTTAGAATTTTAAAAAAATCAGAATATTCAAAAAAATTAGCCAATATTCAAAAAATTGAAACCTCCAAAGAATAGTTTAAAACAGTCTTCTGGGAGACTGCATTTCGATTTGAAATGGAATGGAATGGCCAACGGTCAAATAGTACATGAAGGTCCATCGTACATATGTGTATATGTGTAAATGTGTATATGTGTATATGTGTATATGTGTATATCTGTATATATGTATATATGTATATATGTATATATGTATATATGTATATATGTATATATTATATGTATATTCTGTATATTATGTATATTATGTATATCATGTATATTATGTATATTATGTATATTATGTATATTATGTATATATTATGTATATATTATGTATATATTATGTATATATTATGTATATATTATGTATATTGTCTATATGATGTATATTATGTATATTGTGTATATTATGTATATTATGTATATTATGTTTATTATGTATGTATCTATCTATCGATCTATTTTATGTATATTATGTATGTATCTATCTATCGATCAATTTTATGTATATTATGTATGTATCTATCTATCGATCTATCTGTCTATCTAGGTATCTATATTATGTATGTATGTATGTATGTACGTATGTATTTATGTATGTATGTATGTAAGTATGTATGTAAGTATGTAAGTATGTAAGTATGTAAGTATGTAAGTATGTAAGTATGTATGTATGTATGTATGTATGTATGTATGTATGTATGTATGATATGTATGATTATGTATGATTATGTATGATTATGTATGTATGTATGTACGTACGTACGTATGTATGTATGTATGTATGTATCTACGTATGTATCTACGTATGTATCTACGTATGTAAGTATCTTTCTACGTACTTACGTACGTACGTACGTATGTATGTATGTATGCATTTATGTATATATGTAAAAAAATGTTATGTATATATGCATATATGATTTATGTATTTATGTGTATATGTTCATATGTACATGTGCAAATACAATTATTTACGTGTATATGTAAACATGTATGTATGTTTGTTTGTTTGTGTATATGTTTGGAATATATGTATCTAATATTTGTATGTAACATATGTATGTAATATATGTATGTAATATATGTATGTAATATATGTATGTAATATATGTATGTAACAAGTAATATATGTGTGTAATAATAGTAATAATATGTAAATGTCATATGATATGTAATGTAATGTGTATATATATATAGATTGTAAATATGATATGTGAATATATATATATATATTATACGTATATACAGATATACATGTATATTTTGTCACCTATGTATATTATTTTTGCATGTATGCATCTATTGCAATATATTTATTTATATTTATTTATTATTAATTATTATATTACCATATAATATTAAACATTGTCGTCCAATGATGCCGAATCTCTTTCAAATCACATCACATCACTCACAGCATGGATGTCCTTAGGGTGATCGTGGCCATGGCCACCATGCCCGCCGTGATCTTCAACGTGATGGCCATGAGGTGCCTTCGGACCCGACGTGCAAATTAATCTGTGCAACACTGTGACACTATTCGCGATTTTTTTTTAAAAAAAAACATATAATATTTGATGATGTTAATCAGACGAAGGACGACTTGAAAGTAATGCACGCATATCAAAGTTTCAATCATACAATCTAGCCGTTCAACGCCGAAGACATGTCGTATTTTTAGGACATGCTAAGCACTGATCTTGTCGACTCTGAAGGTTCTGGTTTTCGGCTAAAGATATTGTGGGATGGTTTGGTCTGCCGGGTGGACCTGACAAAATGTTTTGAGCTAATGAGAGTAGTCTAATTATTCTAATTATGTCTCATTCATCAAGTGAACCTGATAGAACCTAAATACATCACGAGCCGGGAGTACATGCTGCTCTGAATGGCAGTCGTGACTGAAGGTCACGCGTGTTGTTGGAACATGCTTCTCTGTTCCTGTGAGATAGCGACGAAAAATATTTTCCGCACTCTTGTACGATGCTCTCTATCGACTTCCTGCAAGATACTCTTTGAAGAACTTTTCTGAGACACTCTTGTGGGGCACAATAGTGCACTCCTTTGAGCTCTTAAAAAACACTCCTGTGACACACTCTTGTGGGACAATCTTGCAAGAGACACGTGAACGACCTCTCGTGAGATCACTCATAGCCATGGACAGCCATACCACTGCGGAAAGCGAAAATCACACCTCCCGATCACCGTGAAAAAACGCAAAATGACATTCCACACCGTGTAATACTCACCAAATACCACACCCACTACGAGCACCCGCCTGCCACGTACTGTAATTTGCACTTTGTGACTCCTTCGCGCATCAGTTCCAATGCGGCTGGCAAAACTTGCAACACGACGTGTCAAATGTACACTGGGCCTGCCAGGCAAAAACGTGCAAAAAATACAAATGTTGCTTTCACAAATCGCGCAAATGGATGCAAAAGGATTGCGGCTGCCACACAAACCGGATGTCCACACTTTCGCAACCTCACAAGAAGCAAGACCTCCAAACTCAGTTTTGAGTTTTCCCCAAAGATCCCAAAGGAAATGCCACAAACCTCACCGAGTCTGACGCGCCCCTGCACGGATTGTTGTGGACGGTTGCGGACGGTTGCGGACGCTTGCGGATGGGGGGTCAAATGCCGAGACAATGTCGGGCAAACACGGTCCGACCCCAAGACCCCCGAACTTGCCGACAATTCGTAGGAACAACATGGACTACAGCGCACAAAAGCCACGTAGTGCTGCTGCGCACTTCAGCAGAGCCAGCCTCCTCTTCTTCTCTTTCTTGCTCCTCCTCCTGCAATGTCCGCGCTGGTCAATTTTCACTTCGCATGTTTGCAAGATTTTGCAAGTACCCCGTTACACCCCCAAACTAAATTTCAAAATGGTTCCAACGTGAGGGGTGGATCCGTCTCTATTCCAAACGGACACATAATTCTAGAACCGTTGAGGCAGTTGATAGGAATACCACCGCGAGTATGGTCTAATTTTACATGAATATACATGTGTTTACTAGCTCAGCAAATACTCCTCACAAATACAGAATGATACAACAAAATGTGCCGTCAAGCTTATAGCTTGGGCCTTTCGATCATTTTCCTACTGCAGATGTATGCAGATGTGACTCTGAGGTTCCCACCTCTTCTTTTTCATTTTCCTGCTGTAAGATGCTTGATGCTCGCAGATGTTTCAAACCAACAAACTCGTGAGTGGAACTGCTGTTCAGAATACGAACCTCATTGTACACTGTCTGGCTGATGCCAGCTGATCCAGCTGTATTTTTAGGTTTCAACTGTGCCGATTCATGGTCCTTTGCCAACCTCTTCCTAGTGACACATATTCAGAAAATCAAGAAAGTTGAAAAGCAATGGCAGGAAGAGGGAGATTCTCTCTCGTTTTGTTTAATCCGTTTCACAGAGTTTCACAGGGCTCCATAGGGGCTGCATCCAAGCCTCTCGAATTTCAATGTAGGCCTCCACCGTGAATGCAACCAGGATTTCGAACATGATGGCGACCTAAGCAGCTGAGCTCTCTACTCCCACTCTCAGATCAAATCAGGCCCGTCCATCTTCCAAAGACTGGGGGAAAGTTTCAAAGTGCTCGCGGAAGCAACGGTCGTAATCTTCACCCGTGCTCTACGGCCTACATCACACTGCTGAGATTTAAGCTCTCATATTTACTTACCTCTCAGTTCAAACAAGTCTGTAAAAGCTTTGCGCTCTGAGACCAACACTCCCAGAAAGTAGAAGATCGGGAAAATGAGCCAGGCAACATCGCCCCACCTTAGACCCATTTTTCTATGATATTCTATGATAGTCTTTTTTGATGCAAGATGATGCAAGGATTCGTTGTTTCAACCAAAAAATGCGGCTGAACTCAAGCAAAAAAAACAAACGCAGGTATGCTACTTACTTTGAGAAATCAAACTCTCCAACATTCCTTCACAAAACTCAGTTTTTGGCCGTGCCGTCATCTGTAAGGCCTGGGCAACAATGGCAAAATCCCTAAAGTCTGCGATGCCAACTCGATGCTGCTCGCGTATGTTTGCGTATATAATGTGTACCCGTCCAGTCTACGACACGATCCTCAACAGCCTGCCCGGGCATTCCCTGCAATGCAAAGCAAAAACAACTGTGTTTATTTACACTCAAGTTCCTCTGAATTGTGCCCGACATATGCTTCTCGTACATGGCCCATACGTGGCCAGAAGCCTTAGATGCCTCAGTGATCCTTTGTGACATTGCGAGACTGGCAAGTGTTGTACCAGTAGTACCGAACAAGGTGGTGGCGGAAGTTTCAAAGATAGGACGCGATAGAAGACATGAGTTGTTGTGATGCATGGATGGCAGAGCCAATCCACTGATGGACCGAAAGGTGGTTGGAGTTGTGTTTTTTGGAGTGCTTGGGCGCCTCACCCACAACTGCTGGTTGTGTAGTGTAGCGTAGAGTAGTGTAGTTGTTGTAGTTAGCGTAATGTAATGTAGTTTAGTGTTGTGTGGCGTAGCGTAGCGTAGCGTAGCGTAGTGTAGTGTAGCATAGTGTAGTGTAGTGTAGCGTAGTGTAGCATAGTGTAGTGTAGTGTAGTGTTGTGTAATTAGTGTAGTGTCATGTAATTAGTGTAGCGTAGTGTAATGTAGTGTACGTAGTTGTAGTTGTAGTTTTAAGTGTGGTGATAGTTGTAGTTGTAGTTGTAGTGTAATGTGATTGAGTGTAGTGTAGTGAAGTGGAGTGGAGTGTAGTGTCATGTAATTAGTGTAGCGTAGTGTAATGTAGTAATGTAGTGTAGTTGTAGTTGTAGTTGTAGTTGTAGCTGTAGCTGTAGCTGTAGTTGTAGTTAGTGGAGTGGAGTGGAGTGGAGTGGAGTGGAGTGGAGTGGAGTGGAGTGGAGTGGAGTGGAGTGGAGTGGAGTGGAGTGTAGCACAGTGTAACATAGTGTAATTGTAGTTGTCGCTGCCGTTGTTCGCTGTAGATAGTGTAATGTAGTGTAGTGTGGTGCAGCGCAGTGCTGTGTAACGTAGTGTAGTGTAGTGTAGCATAGTGTAGTGTAGTGTAGCGTAGTGTAGCGTAGTGTAATGTAGTGGTGGTGGCGGTGGTAGTTGTAGTTGTAGTTGTAGTTATAGTTATAGTTATAGTTATAGTTGTAGTTGTAGTTGTAGTGTGGGGTAGTGTAGTGTAATGTAATTAGTGTAGTGTAGTTGTAGATGTAATTGTAGTGCAGTGTAGTGGAGTGTAATGTGGTGGTTGTAGTTGAAACTGCGACGAAACCCTCACGCTTCGCTCACTTTTGGCAAGGTGCAGAATCCCTTGTGCCTGCCACGCAAAAGGACATCCGAACGTCCAAAAGCGGTCCGAACCCTTCAGGTTTTTCCACTTTTGACTTCGAAATGCGCTTCGCGCCACAACGGCGGACACTTTTTCGATGACCACCCCCTAAAGGGTCTCCAGGGTGGTCCCCCACCTACATGAATAAAAGTATTAATCCAAGGGTCCTTACTTCTAATTTGTTCTGCGGCACTTCCCCCACCTAGATGTAATAAATGGTTCTCTTCCCACCACCAAAACTAATTTCAGGCAAAATTGTTCAAGAGTGGGGGAACGACCATTTCTTTTTGGATTAAGAGAACCCCAAATAATTTCTTCTACTTAATACCAAAGAATATTAACACTATCCTCCTGCTCATTCAGGGTGAAGGTGGGGGTAGGTGATTTTGCGCAGAACAGGGGTCTACAGAATACAGTCCATCCAGTACAATATCGGGAAAAAAAACTGATTCCGCCTTACCGCGTTCTCTTTATGAAAAAAGTCACTGGCGTCAAATCATTGGCGCGCCCCCCTGCGGCACAGCTTAAAATTAATTTGGGGATGGGTGTACTAGTTCGGAACAACAAGGGGACACACAACGGGGAAGATACAACAGGTGAGCAATGCCCAACATGGGGAACACAACGGGGAATGACAAGGGGGGAACAACACAACGGGGAATGACAAGAGATGGAAACTAGGGAAAAAAGTGACTTTGAAAATATAATATGGTAGAAAAGGTATTTTCTTTGCATGTGACCGTCAAAAAAAGCGGTTCAAGAATTGAAACAAATAAACGAAATAAAAAAGGAGCACATATATATTCTATCAAAATAGTTGAAAGCTAGTTTTGATACACGAAAAAAAGTGAACACAAAAAATGAGTCGTTTCTTGTTTCTTGCTTCAAATCTGTTCAGCACAAAAAAATACAAAAATGTCTAAAATACTACATCAAAATGCAGACTTTTCCTTGGTTCGGCCAGTTTTCCTGAATGTCTAGTATTTTTTCAAAAACATATACTTTTCAATTCGGATTTGGACATCTAGGAAAAACTTTTCCGGCATTATTTTTCGATTGTTTTTAGCTATCAAAACCCACATTTTTGTGCTTGCTCCTGTTTGCAAATAGAGGGACGTCAAGATTCAAGATAGGATTTACCTCCAACCAATGCCTCAACTCGATGATTTTGACCCAACAATTTGAAAACTCCAAAAGTTGCAAAAAAAACTGTTTTCTTGAAAAGTGCTAAAAAAGGGCAAAAACACCTTTTTTTTTTCGGAAAGGTGCATATTTTGAACAAAGGGGCGCAAGTTGACCCAAAAAAAATGTAATTTTTAAATATAATAATAAAAATATAAAAAAAATAATAATAATAGTAAATATATGTATATATATACATACATACATACATAAACATATGATGTTGCCTGGTGCCGGTGTCCATCCCATTGACCACAAGCAACCCCAGTAAGCAGATCTGGGGGTATTGGTGGCATGTTGCCGGGAAGACCTATGTAAGCAGATTATGGACAAATTATGACAAATAAATTCAAGGCGGCCCCACTCTCATTCTCAAGCATTCAGACTAAATTATTTTGGGCACCCCTAACTTAAATTAATCCTCAAATAATAGAATTCTCGAAAAAAAAACACCCGATTCAAAATTAATTGAAAAAATGGATAACCAACGGTCCACCTGGATTAATTTCGTTTAGGGGGTGGTCATCTTTTTTTTTGACATCTCAACTTCCAAAAATGGTCCGGAGCTGGTGTGCTTTGCACATTTTGACTTGGAAATGTGCTTCGCGCCACAACGGCGTGCACTTTTTCGACAGCGCAACTTCCAAAAGTGCTCCGACATTGAGGTGCTTTGATGTGCTTTGTACATTTTGACTTCCAAATGTGCTTCGCATTGCTTCGCGCCACAACGGCGTGCACTTTTTCGACATCTCAACTTCCAAAAGTGGTCCGAACCTGGTGTCTTTTGTACACTTTGACTTGTAAATGTGCTTCGCACCACAACTGCGTGCAATTTTTCATCTCTCATCTGGCCACATGGCTCTGCACCCGCCGCTTTAGCAAGCCTACTTTTCGACCCTCCGGAGCCACAAATCATTGGACAAACACAGTGTTTTGCGACTTTCCTACCTTTTCGCGCGCCTGCATCTTCTTTCTTCTCACTCTTTCTCTTCTCTGATCTTCTCTCTTCGGCAATTCTCTGACTCTTCCCACCTCTGCTTTTCCATTTGTCCATATTATTGTCGGAAGTTTGACTTCTAAACTTCCTTCGATCATATTCGAATGTAGACTACATCAGTGTTCTTGTCACGGAGCAAATGGCCTCCGCATTCACGGGGACATACCTCAGCTCTGCAAACACGGCCTTGAATAAGTTCATGGATTTCCCTCCAAAACAGCAAACCCTTCATCCAGGGACACAAAAGGGACAATAGTATATATAGTATACAATAGTTGCATGCCACATCTCAAACTACAAAACAAATCCAGCAAACACACAGAGAGGGTGTCATTCCGTGCCAATGTTGTCCTACTCCTGTAGTTGCTGTTGCCTTTTTGCTTTCGTGTCGGTTGGCATGGGTTGCGGTATGTTGCGGTGTCACCGTGGGTGCTGCTTCATATGCAAGTCACCTGCGAACCCCCCCTGTCTGCGCTATCTCAAACTTAGCTTGCGACTCACAAAGGAGCTGTGTGAAGAACAAAGCAAAGGCCTCAAAAACACGGAGAAGGCCAAATATCAAATTGTAAACAGGATGTATAGACTATGTAAGTCCCCTGTGAGTTACGAATAGATTATGAATAGACTATGTAAGTCCCCTGATGTCCTCGCGAGCAGTTCAGAATCTACGACCACTACAGTACCGCAATGAATTCATCGACAACCAAGTCCTCCCAACGGTCCCAACAGTACATTTGTTTTTGGATAAAGAGCATCTGAGTAACTACTCGTAACATCTTGTAACATCTCGCAACTGTCATGCTTCATCATTTTTCTGTGCATTGAAGGGTTCTTACTTGATTTTGCCTGATGGTTGTACCTGCTTATTAATATCTGTCTAAAATATTTTTTTTAAAAAAACATTCAAACGAAACGAGAACGATTGAAAAGACTTGAAAACATCGTGCATCGCTTCCACCCCGAGACCACCGGCCATAGGCGTGTCGTTGAAGTTGAACACATACCAATGTTTCTCCTCTGACGCAATCTGACACAATCCGAAATTGAAGAATTTGCAATTCAGTTGTGGATATATGTGGATTTGGTGTGAGGCTTGCATGACCTGTGGCATCCAGAGGCAAATACCAGTAATACTAGTAATAAACACAACCAACATCAACCAACACAATTATCTTGTAGCATGTCGGTGAGTACTTATGTACCTATATGCGCATATGTATGGGCATATGGTGGGGAGATGGACAAGCAGGTAGGTGGCTAGGCAGGAGCGAGGCAGCATTGTGTCATTTTGATTTGCATTGCATTTTCTGGTGTTGTATTATGTTGCATTATTTGGTGTATTGATTTTATTGGATCATCCAATGCAATGTTGTGTTCTCCAATGTTGTGCAACATTGTGCTGGTACTATGCTGTGGTGTGTTGTGTTATGTAATGCAATTACAGTCTTGCATTGTGTTGTGTTGTGCTGCCTTATATCATGTTACATCGTGCTATGCTGTGCTGTGTTTTACTGTCGGCTGTTTGGTATTGCTGTGTTTCGCTTTTTTGCGGTTGTCTGATGTCGCTTTGTCGTGCTGTTATTGTAATCTCTTCCTATACTGACTGGCATTGTAGTGTAGCCCTGCAGTTGGCCGTCGGCAAGACTGTGGAAACACTGTAGGTGACCTGTGATCTCTAAACCATCTACAAACTGATTCTTTGCCTCTGTATTGTTTTGTGTTCGATTTTGTTCTGTATTGAATGGCATTGTATGGAGGGGGCGTTTTATAACCGTCACCGTTTTGGAGTTTTCAAACTCCGGCTCAAATGTGCTCGTTAACCACGTCCGCTTAAGGGTCTTACAGTAACTCTCTCTCTCTCTCTTTTGCGGTCTTAACCACGGCTGTTTTGAAGCATGTTGCAGGTTGAAGAAAACAAGAGCTGGGAGCTGCGTCCCATTGTTATACAGGGCCAACTGGAGCCGGGCGCTCCGTTCCATTGTATTATAATGTATTATACATTGCCAAGTCGAGCCGGAACTTCGTGCCATTGTACATTAAGCTGCTGTGCCAACTGGAAAGGGAAGCTTCCTTCTGTGCACGGAGCTCCCGGCTACAGTTAGCATTGTATACATTTTGTATACTACAATGGAACGGAGCTCCCAGTACAACACAGTGGAACAATGGAACGGAGAAGTTAGCCTGCAACCTGCTTCAAAACAGCCTTCGCTAAGAACCCAAAAAGGTGAAAATGAACATCAACAAAGAGGTAGTTCAGCAACCACAGTCGGGGTTAAGACACCCTGTGGTTTTGTATGATGTGTCTTGATGTGTCTTGTTTCATGTTGTATGTATTGGATCGAGTTGGATTGGATCGGAGCGTGTCTTCTAAGATGTCTAAAGAGAGAAACGTAGACGAGATTCTCTGACTAGAATCTGGACATGTCTGGACCCACTGGACATCACTGGACTATGTTTCTTCTCTCAGAGTCTATGAATCTATGACGAAAGTGTTGAAAATGCAGTTCCAAGCTCCGGGTCCATCCTTGTACTCAGTGTGCTCGAGTCCGGGATTGCCCTGGCACGGATCATTCCAATGAGGGCCACTGGACCATGTGAAACAACAAGAAATAACGCATTGCACATGTTAAATATGTGTGTAGTATATTTTGATACATTTTGCGCATTTCAACACAGTCCTTTTCTCGTCATCTTTTCATGAACTTCGAGATCAATTCTGTAGGACCATCTCAAGTTTTCAGCTCACGTTTGACTGAGGACTGTTTTCCTCAGACGACTGGAATTCTTTGCTGGATCTGAAATGTGGTAAAGCAGCCTTGTAAAGCACACCACCAAAGAGGTTCACTCCCAGGGTGGTGAAGAAAAAAACCACCTCAACAAATGTCAAAAAGGGTCAAAAGGGTCAAAAAGGGTCAAAAAGGGTCAAAAGATGTCAAAAGTCAAAGTGGGTTTAACCAACTCACCGATTGCTTAATATGTTCAATGATGTTTGCTTAATGTTGCTTATGATTGAAATCGAACTTGTTGCTTTTTGCGCAAAAAAGGTGCCGATTAGTCGTCATGGTCGCTGGCAGTGAGGCCTCGCTGCATACACCGAGGAAGAATGCCTATGCAAATACTAATTTTACATGTATTTATGCATTATGTTTAAACTGTACTTCTATCTGATTACATGAAATATGCTATATAATACTTGAAACAAAAATGGCAAAAGGAGACACATGATATAATTATTATATAAAACATATTAAAACATTGTGCCTAGTACACCAGTGTGGAATAGTGTGGAATAGTGTGGAATAGTGTGGAATAGTGTGGAATAGTGTGGAATAGTGTGGAATAGTGTGGATGCGTTGGCCGTATCATGCTCCGTCAATCTCCCGCAAGCCCCGCGATGAGTTTCCAAGATCTTCCAAGCCACGCATCCCAGCAAGAGAAAGATGTTCCCTGGCAGCGGGATGGTTTGGCGTAAGGAGAGCGTCTTTGGAGATGTTCATAGGTTTAATCGGTTTAATGATAATTAATAGTAGATTTTCACTGTCAGATCAGAAGCGACATTCCAGAAGTCTTAAAAAACCAACCTTAATCTCTTTGGATGACTTGATTGCTGACAGTGTGCCGGTCTCTGTGGACTGCAACAGCATGTGACTGCTGAAAGCCTGCAGCCCATACCATCTTGGTGATACAGCTGGCCAAGAACCTCAAACTCCAACATGCAGGCGTGTTTAGCCTATTTGTCTTGTACTTACTGCGTATAAGGGCTTCACAATGCTTCACGGATATACCACAAACGCGACCTCGCATTCCTTCACTGCCAGTACATCCAGGGCCGTACTCTTGAAAGAAGCCGCTGCTGAAAGATTTCTACAACTTCAAGCCAGCTATAGCATGCTATAGCCAGCTTCCAAATCGAGAGATCGGCTAAACATGATGGATGTGAAAGGGAATTTCGGCTTCTCGCGTCTTCTCGCGTCAATCATATCGTCATATAATTTGTCAATATTTGTCATATGATTTTTGATTATTGCTTGGCGCCAAGGCTGCACAGAGCGCAGGGATTTCAGCTGCTTGATGACCTGAGTGTAGTGAGAGGCAACTTGAGACTCCCAGGAATATCTTTGAGGTGCAATTAGCAGTCAACGGTCAACTAAGTAACTATAAGTAACTAACTAAGTCCCTATGTTTGAGGCGCATGTACCAAAAAACAAATCAGATGAAAAAGGGAAGCGGTTTGTTGCCAGTGCCAGAAACTGGACTTTCCTCATGTTCCTGTGGAAATAAAACAGGCAACAATGAGAAATGATGTTTAAAAACAGGAGGCCTGACCCAGAGAAACCCACATTCACCGGCAAAATGCGCTCCTCCAGAACCATGGTAGTTATTAGGTTCAAAATGTGGCAAATTCCATGAAGAAAGCCCACTTTGGAAGAAAACGCGGTATACGTTATACGTATCCACTTTGAAGCATTACATACATACAGTAGAATATGTATGACATAGAATGCGAGACTGCGTTGGAGAACAGTACGGGTAGTTTTTAGAAACAAAGAGTCCTTTTTGTGTGGCAAAAATCATGAAAATTGTTTTGATGTCTGGGAATACACTACTGTAGTGTTTCCATGTGACTGTGGTGCAGTACTGCATTCTTTTGAAAGAAATGAGTCATCTTTGAAAGCACAACCCTAGTTCATCTACGATGCCTGTTTCAGTTAGAAAACCAAGGACGCTCCCTGGTCTGTTCAACAGGTTGTGGATATGTTCAATAGATTGGTTACCCTTGCAGTGCCATCAAAATATTTCAAGCAAAAATCCGCCACACAACATGAGGCTATATAATATGTTGTTTGTAGCCAGGTGGTATCACACCAACGCCCTGCCATGGTGCAATCTATCACGGTTGAAATTATATTCTATCCGAAGAAAAGATGACTATGTAATCCATTAAGTTTTGCGCCTGTGCTACATGTCCAGCAGGTAATGTTTTGAAAAAATCGGATTTTTCAAAGAAGTGCAGTTTTACTTACAAATACGCGGCATCCCCTTCTAAAAAAAAAATGTAAGCCGATGGTTGCTTTGAGTTAGCGCATATTTTTGTTTGGAAAAAACTACCTGTCAAGGTTGAACTATTCTTGAAAAAAAACATAAAACAAACACTAGTTCTCCACCTGTTTCCCCTTTTTGATGATGGAAATCCGCCGACCCCGGCCGACAGCAAGGGGGAGCGCGTCAGGGCAGAAGGGTGCTGAACAACAACAACAACAACACCACCACCACCAACAACACCAACACCACCGCCAACACCAACACCAACACCAACCCCAACCCCAACACCAACTACCATGACGAGGACGAGGACGAGGACGAGGAGGAGGAGGACGAGGACGACGAGGAGGAGGAGGACGACGACGACAACGACGACAACGACAAAAACAACAAAAACAACAAAACCACAACCACATCCTCAACCACAGCCACAACCACAACCACAACAACAAACACAAACACAAACAACAACCAACAACCAACAAACAACAAACAACAAGCAACAAACAACAAACAACACACAACAAAGGACGAACAAACAAACAAACAAACAAACCAACCAAACAAACAAACAAACCAACAAACCAACGAACAACAACCAACAACCAACAACCCAACAACGCGACAAGCAACTCAACGACTCATCAACTCAACAACCAACAAAAACCAAGCGACAATGCAACAACCCGACAACCAACACCAACAACCAGCAACTGAACAACTCAGCAACTCAACAACTCAACAACCCACAAACAACAACTCAACAACCAACAGCTCAACTACTCAACAACCAACAACCAACAACGTTTTTGCTCCGAAGGCGTCTGAAAGTCTGAAAGTTGCCAAAGCACCACCGATATGACGCTTTTGAAGGCATTCTTGGGTCCAACCAGCAGCTTCCGGACTTTTGGAGCACTATGGAGCACTTAATACTGCGAAACAAAATGCAACGGGCAAACGTAAGGAGGCACACCCACGCGCAGAGCACACCAGCAACATTTGCACCAACAATAACATCAATAACAACCTCACCTCAAGGACAAACGCAAGAACCTGAAGAATGACGACGACGACGGCGACGGCGACAACAACAACAACAACAACATGATAAACATTCAGCGTATTCCTTAGGGATGTGCAATTTTCCTTTCTAGTGAGCGAAGCATGTCTCTCACATAAATGATGCGTATTCCCATATTAAAGGAAGTTTCAAAGAAATGGTGCTACTTGCCAAAAAACAGAGCAGCTGGGCTCTTTTGAAAGGATTGCTACATTATTTTCCATTTTGTGCAGAAATGATGTTACTTTCAAACATAATAGATGACAGCTGAGCTTTGAAGGGCATGTTACTTCTTTAGTTTCTTCAGTAGTCACACTTCATTTTCTGCGACACTATTGTTTCTGTTGTTTAAACAAATGACTGCAGATTTAAGTGATGCATTCTTGTTTAAAAGAAAATCCATATGCTCAAGGGAATATTGTAGAGCTTCGCACACCAGCAATGCCCAAAGGGTTCAGGCAACCCTTCGCATAGAGCAGAGACAGGCTGACTGGGAGCTGTTGCTGTTGCTGCTGCTGTTGGTACAAGCATCCTTTTAAGTAATGGTTTGTGAGGCATGCATTTGACAGACAAATGATGCCTTAGAAGCAAGATAAATCAGGTTAGGTTTGGATTAATCTGGATTAATCCTAAGGAAAAAAAACAAAGAAACAAAAAAACAAAGAAAACAAAGAATCAAAAAAAAAAAACGTTTGGAGGACTACTAGTCTCGAAACATTGCTTTTTTGATGTTTGTTCTTTGTTTTTTTTGGGTGTGTGTGTGTTTTTAATTACTTTAAGTTGCGTTTCCATCAAAAAAGGCTTGTGCATGGACAATAATTTGAAAAAAACAATGTTGCTTCAGACATGCAATATATCTACAAGAAACAATAAATATTATGTGTATATATATTGATATGCAAACACTTGGTAGCTTCGGCGCTGGCAACAAGCCTTTCTGGAAAAAATGGCGCTGGCCCCAGATCTTATTTCACCTCACGCTTCCTTTGTCTCAATTCGTCTCTTGCCTCAATGCACTGGGCGTGCCGCCCGGAGCAATCGCAAGAGCCGCAGGATGTTTGCATAGTGTCGGAGATCAAAGGGCATTACCTCTGCAACTTGAAAACAGAGCCACTCGCTGCATGCATACATGGCATATTGTAACATACCCCGCTTCATATCATTCTCTTCGTTCTATTTTTGGCATCAGCCTTGCGCTGCTGTTTGGTTTGTAATGACATGTGTGGCCTGGGAATTGCACGACCCAAGCCACTGTACCGCCAAGTCCAAACACGTTTTCGCAGCTCAGTTGCACTGTTGGGCAAATAGGGTAGCAAGCTGGAGAAGAGAAGGAGGAATGTTGTGAAGAAGTCGAAACCTCAGCGGGCAACTGTTGCAGATTGGATAATTTTGATCAATTTGGAGCATATGAGAACATGTGAGAACATGTGAGAACATGTGAGAACGTATATGAGATCATATGAACTATGTTCCTTCACCGCCTTGCAGCAGTTTTGTCCTTACAGGCAAATGATCCCAAGCCCCACACGCTTGGGCAGGGACAACCAATAGACATCCCAGGAACGAACCTGGACTTTCACTGCCACCTGAGCATCGCTAAAAAAACAGTCGCAAGGTGTGCAGTTTCATACAAGAGACTTCTTGCGAGTGTTCTTTCTGAAAAATAAACCCAGTATATAGATGTATATAGTAAATAATTATATGTGAATGGCATTAAATTGGTGGCATTTTGGCACACTTTGATAATCCGCCGGCCTATGCCAGCGTGTTTCCTGTGATGTGCTGTGATGATGGTGGTGTCACTGTAATTGGTACTACTGTATGGTGCAAAGTCTCCTCTGCGCGGATTTTTGCTTCACCTGACTGGAGCTAACGTGCCCCCCCGCCCTTCCCCCTTCCCCCATCCCCTTCCCCGGAATTTTTGTTTTGGGCTGGATCCTATGTGGATATAGCATGAATATTGAGCGCATTTACATACGCTGTCAAGGCTCAAGAGAGATATAGAGTAATCCTGTGGACACCGCACCAACCGGCTATTGGCCGTGAGTAAAAGGTGTGTAGCTGTCAGGGAAGACGCTCTAGCTGACCTAATCTAGACGCTAGTGCCCCTCTTCAAGTGGTAGCGGAGCTGAGCTGCGATCCTTCATTGAAGGTGAGCTCCAGGTAGAGCCCGATATGGCATGCCATGGCTATGATGATGATGACTTCGACATTGTCGACGCAGATGGATGGAATCAATATGACTCTTATGCAATGAGAAGAGTACCCCAACAACCCTCAATCCATATGACGCAGCAGATGACCACGAAGGTAGCCCCTGCATATGATGGACGAACCAGCTTTTTTTGCCTTTGAAGATGCAATCCATGATCGGTGTGACATCACAGAGCTGGGACCGGAAAAACATGGACCTGCCTTGGGGAACAGATTGGAAGGTGAAGCATCTCAGTGCAAAAGACTACTGGACCGAGATTTGTTGAGAGACCCCAACGATGGTGTGAGCTATTTCAAAAGATTCTTGCGACCTCATTTGAATCAAGGGAGCCCAAAACGTGTTCTTGCAACCTTTCATGCAGTTCATGAAGTGCAACAGAGGTACCATGGATTTGCAAAAGTGGATGACCAGATTTCAACTGACTGGAAACAGACTTATTGAGTTTTGGATGGATCTCTTACCAGATTTGCTGACCACCAGTCCAGAAGCAATTGCATTTGTTGCACAACGTCGTCAAGAACATGAAGAACGTCAAGCTGAACTTGCAGGTGCTGCAGAAGCCTTACCAGGACAAGAACCACATGTCAATATACCATGGACAGATGAACATGCATTGGCAGCATTCAAACAAGTCAACGGAAAAAAGAGCACAACAGATAATGGCTTTTCCCTTGGGTGACAAGTGCTAAGGCATTGAGAACTCCTGATCCATATTATGATCGAAAGAATCTCCATCTGAGGACTTCTATTGTGAAGAGGAAAGGAATTTGGTGGTTACTTGAATGAACCATGACTTGAACAAAGAAATGTTTCCACAAGTTTGGAAGAAGAAGCTGAAGTTCTTGCTTCAGTCTTCTTACCTTCAGAACGCACATACCTTGCCACGACACCACAGTTGACACCTGAGATTGTTGAAGAACTCTTGGAACATTTCATGGACCCTGTTAATGGCAGTAATGCCAAGGAAAGAAAACCAATTGGCATGTGTTGTCTTCATGTTGATGACTCGTTCATTACTGGAACCCCAGAGTTCCTGGAGAAGTTCAAGAAAGTTGTCAAGCCACAATTCAAGATTGGTCATGAAGATGTGAATGACTTGATGTTCACTGGTCAACGTGTCAAACGGATCATTGATGAGAAAAAGAAATCTCACATTACTGTTGAACAGTCCCTGTGTGTCAGTGAACGTACTGAGGTTGTCATACCCAAAGGTTGGACGGATAAAGACAAATGCGACAAAGATCTCCACACTGCCTATGTTAGGACTTCCTGACTCTGTCTATGAAAAGTATGAAGACATGTACAGCAAGTGCCAGTTTTTCCATTGCACCACCGCCAAGAGCCAGTTTTTCCCTCATTCGAGCAACCAACTTTGGAGATGTTATCTTTGTTGACCATGCTGAAATCCAGTTGAGGAAGAGCAAGTACGTGGTGTTGCTTGTTCTTGATGGTGCATCAAGCTTACTTTGGGCTACAGCACAAGAGACTATTCAAGCTCTAAGGTTGTGGGCTGATGAGAAAAATTGTATGCCTAAAGCCGTTGTAGGCGATGAAGCCTTTTTCCAAGAAGACTTTCTGACTTATTACCGAACTCATGGTATCAAGGAATGTCCCTCTGGTTCAAGAACCCCATGGCCAAACAGAGCTGAATCAGCTGTTAGACTCTTCAAACGACAATGGCAAATCATGTCAAAGAACCTGGAAGATGATAGGTTTATGAGGAGTGACAGTTAGAGAAGCTGTGAAACGTATTGTTTGGGCCAGAAACATTCAACTCACTGTTAGTGGCTGCTCACCTTTCGGAATTGTCACTGGTAGACGACCACCTCATCTTCTGGATATTGAAACTTCTGATCCTGCTCAACTTAGTGTTGATCCCTTACCTGAAGATAGAACACAATAAGAGTTGCAACGGTTAGCATTGAAGGCACATAGGAAGCAAGACAATTTGCTGACCTCAGGCATGACATGGCTAGGAGAACTATGCCATCAGATGGACCTTACAAACCAGGTGACAAGGTCTTTGTGTGGACGTCCCCTGTCAGTGCTAACTCTATTGCTTCGAAGGCATGGAAGAAGGAAAGATGGGTCAGAGGTGCTGTTATCTCACAAGGAGGTGCTATGGTCAATGTTCATGTTGACAGTTCAGTTATGCGTGTCAATCAATCCAAGATCAGGCGTGATCACGATGAATGGCATGATGTTGCTGTTCCGGGACTTGACAGTCCAGATCCTGTCCCACTTGCAGTTGAAGATGAAGATGACTACGAGCCAGATATAGCTGAATATGCTGGGGCTTACTTCGGTGAGCAGACTCACTGGTTCTGTCAAACTATGTCAAACTGGCAGGTGTGATGTTGTTGAACTCTTTAGCAACAACACTGGTCTTAGTTGGCACATGTCACGACCACAAGCATGGTTGGAGTTTCAACAGTAAAACCAAGCAATACCAAGTTTGGAGACAACTTGAGAAGCTTGTTGATCACAAATCCTTGACCAAATTCCTGGAAGTACTCGGTTTACAAGTTCTGCCTTGATGTGATGACATGGCAGCTTGATCGAGGAAAAGGTTTCTTGGTGATTACGCCGCCTGATTCAGGATTTGCTCAGATTCTGACTTGGAAGAAACATCAAAAGACAGAATCAAATATCACATTGGTTGTATCCATGTTGACATGACCAACTACTGTCATTGTGATCCTTCTATCAAGGACTTGCGTGTGTACTACAATCGTGACGATGATTTCCATTTGATGGAACCTCAGCATGCCTTCAGCAGAGAAGGGAAGCTTTGGACAGATCCACAGTGGAAGGTCTTACCATCACGTTTGCGTTCATTCATTGCACACTTCACAAGCTCAGGACATATGTGCTGTCTTTTCACTAGAAGGTGGGAAATGGTCAGATTGTTCCTACTACTTGGAAACAGCTCAGTACAAAGAGGCGCAGGTGAGCCACCAGGATGGGAAGACAGATTTTCCATTGACATAGAACAGAGGTCAGAGAACTGGCTTTTGTATGAGCGAGATGTGCAGATTCAGGAAGACATGGAATGGTTAGCTGAAGCAGTTTACCAGTTTTACCAAGTCCATCTTGATCGTTTGATCAGAGAGAGCGACAAGCTTTGGGGTGATTTCTGCCGAAGGAAGTTTGATGCAGATGGAAGTGACAGTGGACTGGAGTTGAACACGTTTGGATATGACATGACGATACCAGGTATGACAGCTCACATGAACAAGAACACAGCCATTCCAGATCCAGAAGCTCATTTCTCATTCTCCACAAAGCTGATAGTCTTGGGAATTGAACTGTACCTGAGAGATGCACCCCGCGACTTCTGTCATTACACCAACTTTGCCTACAAGAAGCCTTTCCAGCTTGTCGAAGGTAGGAAAGACATGACTGCCCAGTCATACAGGTTCTTTGTTGAGCATGCTTACAGTCAATTCTTTCAGCATGAAGCCTTCAATCAATCTGCACTTGCAAGAACAAGGACAAAGGATCTTAGTGCAGGTGAATTTCATTCATCAACCAAGCTTGATGGCTATGTTTGGATTGCCACTCGGGACAAGATTGTGCACATTCCAAAAGATCATGCAGAAGATGATGAAATGCAGGAAGGTGATGCTGAAGAAGAAGATGAACAAGAAGATGCCTTACCCACACTGGAAGTCAGTATCAGACCTCAACCTCGGGAGGAAGAGAATCAGAAAGAAGAAGATGCATGCTCTCAGAAGCGAGAGGAAACATCCAATCATTCAGGACACTCTGAACTCTGAAGAAGCAGAGATACCTGAGGTGGAACCTTTGCCTAGAGGTCGCACAGCTGAGGAAAGGTATGGAAATTTCATGATTCAGCAGCTCAACACACAGCATCGGGAGCTATTGAGAGATTGTGCATTCAACTCACGAAACATTCTTCAAGGTGATGATAGAGACCTAGACAGAGAACTAACACATCGTGATCAAGTTGGTTCCTTTGCAATGGTTTTCATGATGGAAAACATGGTTTCTCAATCTCATAGCAGCTTCATGGAAATCTTTGCTCCAGCGCACCAGCATCACAGACTGACGTTACCGATGAACAGTATCATGAACTACGTCTTTAACTCAAAAGGTCGTAGAAGAGAACAAGCACATCAATCAGGACAATTTTGAGGAAGAAGATGATCCTAATCTCATGGATGAAGATACCAATATTCCTCTACGACGACGTGATGAGCAAGGCCCAGTTGATCCAGAGTTCAAAGGTGCTGTTGAATGTTTGAGTCGTGAAAACAAACATATGATTCTGGAAACTGAAGATGATTCATTGATTGAATGTACTATTCAATGGCTCAAAATCTATGACAAAACCCTTCAAAAGAAAATCATTGAAAGAGTTGTCAAACATGAAGAAGAAGAAGAAGAAGAAGAAGAAGAAGAAGAAGAAGAAGAAGAAGAAGTTGAAGTTGAAGTTGAAGAAGAACAGGCTGAGCCTGAGGAGACTAAGGTACCACCACCTGAAAAGGTGAGCGTGAAAATTCAGACAGATAATTCATTTCTGTCTGATCAAAAGACTGGAAGCTCTTCGAAGAAAGAGGAGCCAGCTCCATCTGGAAGCTCTCAGAAGGGAGAGGAACCAGAGGAGAAGACAGATGATATTCAAGAAGATGACACGGCTCCAAAGAAAGAACCTGCCAAACGTCTTTGTCATGGTCAAGATATCACTGGAAATGAAGATGATTCAGTTTTTCGAGAACTTTCCAAGTGTTTTACAAACAGTTACTATGATGAATGGGCAGGTTTCTACAATCAAAGGTACCCAGCTTCAACTCAGCATCGACACATGTTCTGGCATGCAAAAATACAGGGAGACCAGCGAACCTCGCAAAGACCACTGGTACATTGACTCAGACAAACAACTGATGGATCAATACATCGCTAGACACAAGGACGAATATCCCTTGTCATTGTTGGAGGACTTGCGTAAGGAAGCAGTCTACGGTTGTTCTGACCCTCGACTTCATCCTCGTGTTCGTGAAAAAGTTGATCGAGTGACAGAGGAAGCCGAGAAACGGTTGGAGGATGACTTCCAGACTCTTTCTTCTGTTCTCACAGACTACGTGGAGCAACATGGTGTTCTGTCATATTACGTCGTCCTACAGTGTCTTGCCTCACGATACCTTGGGGCAGGAATGATCGATCCTACATCTTTGGACAAGAGTCATCCCTATCGCTCTTCGCCACAGTTCTCCTTGATGTTTTGGAATCTTGGAAACTGGTGCAGGTCACGGTTCAATAAGTGCCCACTACCTGAAAAGTTACAGAAGTTTGCACCTCATATTAATATATATTAATTATGAGGTGGATCGTGACCGTGAGAAGATCGGGGATAAACCTCAGTTCAACAACTGTTTCATCAACGTTGTCAAGAACCCTGGGGCACATATAATCATGAATTGCGAGGCGCAAAGCCTCTATCCTTACAAGTACTTGCTTGAAGAGGAGCAGTTCCCGACGTGCTTCAACGATTATCGTGACCTCATGGCAGCTGCTCATGTAGGAAAAGATGGATATGTTCGACAAATCGCTGGTTACAACTCTGGTGAAGATGACACACGTGCTAGGTACGTATCATGGGCCATATTTGAGAATTTATGGGGCACAGGCAAAAAACATGTACACCGATGAAGAAGAGCCCCTCACTAGAGCTCGAATGTCCATGTGTCGTGTGTGTTTTTATCACGTTGGACAAGACAGCATTTCCAAGTCGCCAGGAATTTGCGGAGAAGCGCTTGCATGCATGTCCTTTGAGTGCATCCGTTTTCAAGTCGATGTGATCGCAGGCGACGGGAACAAAGCATGCTATCTTGCAACTCCGAAAGCCGGAGGATGCCCAACTTATGAAGTCAGTTTGCTTCAGTTCTGGATCAACTGCATGATCCACACAGCCACTAAGGCAAGGATCAAGAACTACGGAAAAGCACCAGACGTAACAGACGTAAGAGTTAAACACTTTATCTCTTGTACTTACAAAGACCTTGAATTCTTGGCAAAACATCTCAGAGGAATCACCACCAACACTTACACTCATGAACTTGCCAAGAAAACTGAGAATGTTGGCGACTGTTGCATGATGTCCGTTTGTGCATGGGGACATGCGAGATTGGAATCTGAGGAAGACATCAACGATTTTGGTGATCAAGACCACATGGACTTTGTTGGAGAATTTTCGTGTTCAGTCAATGAAACGTGCTTATCCTGTGACCACAACATCTTTATGGTTGCCCCAGCTGGCACCGACGCGCACAATCCACTCCTTATTCACTTGAAACCTTCTGATATGGAATGGAAAGAAAAGCGTTCCTATAATATGCATCCAGCTAAGAAGCAGCAACGGGAGGAAATAAGGAAGGATATGGAAGGATATTCAAAAGTCGAATAAGCGAAAAGGTCAGGGCTTTGGTGATGATCCGTGACTGGACTCTTCATGGGACAACTGGGATGGCCGTGGCAAGTGGACACAGGACACCAACACTGGACATGGTGCATCCTCATCTTCTACAGCAAGGGTATGGAGACCAACGAACAGGTGAGTGCACACTCCTAAAGAAGAAGATAACACAGGATGATTTTGCTCTGTACAGTTTTTCTGCGAGCTCATTTATTTTTGCACACTCTTACCAGAAGGAGATAATACCATTCATGTGTACAGAGTTTCGTCTTTTTCAGTGCTGATATATACGCGTTTACATAGAGATAAAATCACATTTGTCTCCACATATTTTCTGCCGAGCAGATCGTTTTTGAAGCGAATGAACTTTATACCAACTCCGAATTTTGTCCATCGTCCGCTTGAATGAGCGACTTTGGAGATCCGAATTTCATCCGTTTATTTTGTGTTTCGGTCAACTGTTTTCCATCTGACCTGAAGTTCTGAATCTTGCATTCAATTTGTAGCGAGCCTCCACTGTTAGAGAATTGCCGTGATCGACCGTGCTTCGTGCACCCTGTCGAGAAAAATAATTTGCGAATCTGCTGTTTTTCACTTCGACATGTCTTTAGGACATTTTGTCGCAATCAAGTCCGCTAGCGCTCCGTCATTTTGTATAGAATCCACTGCGCACTATCCGCTAGTTTTTTTTGCTGATTAGCCAACGTGTAATCTAGCTTACTTGCTAGAACTATCTAGAACTCTTACTCTCAATTGGGTACGACAAGGCGTAGTGCTCAACCCATTGCCTTTGAATTTGTGCTTGTGTTTCTGTTCTGGACTAAACCCTACCAGGGCATGGCATGAGTACTGAGCACAGTTTATATACGCTGTCAAGGCTCAAGAGAGAGAGAGAGATATAGAGAGGTATAGCTTGTAGTCTAGGCACCGCACTGACTGGCATTGGCCGACAGAGGAAAACTAGTGCGGCAGCCTGGGAAGACGCTCTAGCTGATCCTATCAGGACGCTATTGCCCCTCTCTCCCCCTCCTCCCCCTCTTTACGACTTCCTTCTCTCTCTCTCTCTCTCTCTCTTCTGTCCTCTCTTCCTCCCCTCCTCCCCTCCTCCCCTCCCCCCCTCCTCCCCCTGATGAGATTTTGACAAGTGCATTTTGGCCTCACCCAAGCAAAGGATATGATTTTGCTTGAAAGAGAACACCAGCCTCTCCCAAGTACAGGAAGGAGAACACAAGCTCTACCTTGCAGTACTGTTTGCTCCGCCAAATGGTTTCAATCCTTTCAGTCTGATTCTGATACCGTGGAGACGAGAGCTATAAGTGCGTTGAGAAGTTTCGAATTGAAATTGTCTTGATTGCACATTGCTGTTGATAGATTATCAATCATGCTCCTGCTCTTCCCTTAGTTCATGAGGTCCATACGTAGCCGGTCCATGCCTAAGTCAAACAAACAAGTTCTGATCACCAAAGATCATTCAGATGCATTGCTGCTGTGTGATGCTACAAGCAACAAAGGGATTCAAATCAGATGTGCTGTGCAAAGCTGTATCATGCTTTGTGTGCAAGAATCAAAGTGCTTCTTTACTGCACCAAACAAAAATAATCTGCTCCTTGCTCAACGCCCGCCAAATATACCACAGCGGCTGGTGGATTCAGCGAATTCAGCGTGTAGGTGGACCTGAGATAGTACAAGATGGCTCGCAATCAGCAACAAAGATCAACAAAATACATTGTTAAATACATAGTGTGTTGACAGAGACAAAGTCACTATTTGGATAAATGATGTGAAGATTGGTTTTCTCAGTGGTTTTCGCAGCAACATGTTGAATTTTCATGTGTTTTCAGGGACTTGCGTTTGGGTTTGACAGAATCTCACGAAACATTTTCTCTTGGAGGCTTTTGTCGACCAGTTTTCCTTTTGCCTGGGTCAGTGGGTGGGTGGATGAGTGCGTACCTGCGAGTGGTTGTTTGCTTGTGTTTTCTGTCTTTCCGTCTTTCCGTCTTTCTTTATTTTCTTTCTTTTCTTTCTTTTCTTTCTTTTCTTTCTTTTCTTTCTTTTCTTTCTTTTCTTTCTTTTCTTTCTTTTCTTTCTTTTCTTTCTTTTCTTTCTTTCTTTCTTCCTTTCTTCCTTTCTTCCGTTTGTTTGTTTGTTAGTTTGTTCGTTCGTTTGTTCTTTCTTTCCTTTGTTTATTTCTTTATCTATTTCTGTCTTTCTTTCTTTGTTTCTTTGCTTCTTTGCTTCTTGGCTCCTTTGTTTCTTTGCTTCCTTGTTTCTTTGCTTCCTTGCTCCTTTGCTTCCTTGCTCCTTTGCTTCGTTGCTTCTTTGCTTCCTTGCTGGCCTGCTTGGTTGCCTGTGCGCATGTGCATGAGTGCATGCGTGCCTGCTTGCTTGCTTGCCTTGATTTGCTTTCTTTCTTTCGCTCTTGCTTTCTTTCTTTCGCTCTTGCTTCCTTTCTTTCTTTCTTTCTTTCTTTCTTTGGTCTTTGTTTCTTCTCTGTTTGGTTTGATTGTTCGTTTGTTTGCTTTTGTGCAATGTAATGCACTGCAAAGAAATACAATGTAATACATACAGTAACTCGCAACACATAGATACTTCCAGGGACAATTGATCTTGGGGGTCTGAAAGCCTCAGATTGAAAGAGACATAAAGATACTGTAAGATAAGAATAGATAAGATACATAAAGTTCCAGAGACGTCCTGTCTAGGTAGCCGCGGCTATGTTGCAATAGTGGCATCCTCTGTTTGCTTCTCGCCACTGGGGATGAAGCATTTGCTGAGACTGTGCTGTTTTGGTCTCCAACGAGAATTTGTGGGTGATCCGCGGCCACAAGATGCCACAAGTTCATAAGGATGAGTTCAATTCAGTTCAATTCGGCATGGTATGGCATGGTCATGCTTTTTTGCGAAACAGACTTCTGCCAAGTGACTCTAGCAGAACCAATGCCTCGGAAAGTCTCAGGGCATGGCATCTCAGGGAATTCAGGTGTGGAATAGTATCTGCTCTTCAGGGCGTTGCATGGCTCAGTCGAGTCATCTTGTCTCTTAAGGTTTCGTAAATGGATGATTTTGTGCCTTTACGTCATACCTACAACATGGGTCTTGCTTATGTCTTGTACTGCTTGCATGTTTGAGGCACAAGATTCACCAAAAGAACGCTATTCATCAGCTTGTCGAAGGTGGGCTCATCCTGTGAGAGATGCGAATGTCCCTTGAACAGTTTCCGTCCTGAACCTTGCATTTCACGACCTTTATAAATCTTTAATATATATAAATAATTATAAATATATATATATATATATTATATATATGTATATATATATATATATTATGTAAGTTTTTTATGTCTTTATACATATACATATATATATATATGTTATATATATAATTATATATATATATATGTCTTTATATAAGTGTAAGGAGCAGCAAAAAGACATATCAGTTTGAAATGGGCAGCGAAGCACAGAATGTGAAAGCGAAGATAGCGAAGTCGATAAGATGTCCAAACTTTTGTTGGGACATTGGCGTTTGTGAAGCTTGAGGATGAACAAGTCTTTTGAAAAAAGGAAGCCAGCTAACACGGACCTATCTCCCCGCATCTTCATCAGTTGCATAGAGACTGCAGAAAGGCACAAAAACCACGGGATACCATGGGCAACCCAGGAGACAGATGGAAAAACTGAACCCGGCAAAGGTTGTCCTCTGGCCGGGTCACGTAGTGTTTCAACCTTGAAAAAGCGCAGTAATGTGGAAAGTCGAAAGATCAGCTCTACGTTTTGTATCTACTTAGGGCCTCTACGTAAGACTCCCATGCTGAGATGTGGAGGAAGCATGCTGACGCAACGTCAATAGCGTCAAACGTATCTCTGACATTCTCTGGCCAAGCTGCATCTTGCCAAAAGATGAAAGCCCTTGTTCTGGCTCCTGTGGGGAAACAGTGAAATGTCTAGGATTCTCATTTCAAACCTTGCTAGTAGTAGGGCAAAAAATGGATTGAAATGCACAGTTCGCTTTTAATATCTGCTCTGTTTGTAAAGGTAAGTGTACACAAGTGCATGCACCTGATTACAAACATCCAAATACATCCAAATGTTGGACGCGCAGAGAACTCTGAGAATGGTGCAGCCGACAAATCCCTGACAGTACCCAGCAGTCCGTTGGCACCACAGTCCTCAAACGCCAGCTCAAGTCAGCGTATAAGACACCACAGACCCTCCGGACGCCAAATCAATATTTATAATATAATTTCAAAGAAATCCTGTGAAATACATTGAAATACCAGGTATGAATGATTCAATGACGATAATCATGAACTACGATGACTACACACATGTCCGAATGCTGGAAATAAAATGTGACATGTCCATCCACTCTGAGAACGTAGTATATATATTTTTTGTTACCGTCCTGCTTGCCACCTCACCAGGTCATCATGATCATCATGCCATTATTCTTCGAAAAGGATCGAAAAGGCTTCCAAAAACGCAAAGAACATCAAAGAACATCGTATCTGCTAGCTTGAAAGACGTGACGAAATGTCCGTGCAAAACCGGCTGCCTGTTGCTCTTGTACTTGTACATGTACAATACATGCGTCTCTCGAATATGCATAATAGATATATGATGATATATGTGTGTAACAGTAACATATGGTGGTTGATGAAATTCTATCGGGGTGCCAATTCATTATGTGAAGCTGTGCGGGAGTTTTAGAGCGGTCTAACTTTTGTGCATAGGCCTCAGGCTTTAAAATGCACAAAAACAATGAAAACTGGCTCTGCAATAAAATGCCTTGCCACCAAATTCATGCTTGAATGTGCATCCAACATCATCCAATTTCATCCAATTTTGAAGACCCTCAGAAACATTCAGAAACGCATCTTTAAAAAGAGGTCAGGAAATCCATTTTAGATAGGGGTATTTTAGAGTGAAGGTGCCCAAATATTTAGTGTGATTTTTTTAAATAGCATTCTACAGCAACAAAATACGGTGGCATTCTTTCGTGGCAATGCCTTAAAATTCCTTAAAAATCCTTTAAATTCCTTAAAACTTTCTAAATTCCTTAAATTTCCTTATAATTCCTTTAAAATTCCTTAAATTTCCTTATAATTCCTTTAAAATTCCTTAATATTCCTTATAATTCCTTTAAATTTCCTTAATATTCCTTAAAATTCCTTAGAATTCCTTCAAATTCCTTAAAATTCGCTGATCTAAAATGACATGCCCAATAAAATCGATATAAAAAGATCCTGGAAAAACACTGGTTCCATTCTGCAATAGAATGTTCCAAGCAAACATTTTTTTGCAATAAAATGAGAATGGAATTTTAACATGTTAAAAATCATCAGGATTTCCCTTTACAATAAAATGCTTAGCCCAACCCCCCATCAATAAAATGACTAGCCTGACATCAATTTTAAAATTCCAATACATTAAGAATTTCGTTTAAACTATGCACAGGTTCACCAGTTCTAGAGTGGAAATTGCCACGGGGATGAAATTCTTTTGTTCGCAAACGGCCATTCTTCACGAATAAAAATGTTACTTTCGCAAATTTTCGCGAACTCCATGTTTATCTTTCGCGGGGCCCATGTTGGGCAACAACGCCTCTTATGGAGAATCGTTCACCACCTGCAAAATTACGCCAGAGAATCACGGATCACTTCTTGATAGCCTTTTCAACATGCAGCTAGCATCACGGAATCCCTTCTCAGGGCAGATTGTTGCTGATTGGGTTTTTTTTGCAAGGTTTACTGACCCAACCCCTTCAACATGTATTTTGACTTTCGCCCGCTCTTTCGCAGAACTTTCGCGGAACCTTCGCGAAAATATCCCTATTCACAGACCCCGGCCATCAGCAGGGGGCGCATTGAAGGAAAAGCGAACACCAGGGGCCTTGGTATATATCGGGGCTGGTATTGGGGGATGACTGTTTTGTCATGGTTTTGTAGCTGTAAAGTGGTGCTGCCCAGCCACAAACACTACATTATCCATGCGCAGGCCAAAAAAAGATCGCTACAAAAGTGCAACCCAGCCTGGATAAAGGGTTACTAAAAAAACGAAGGGATTTGAGAAGAGGCCCTTCAAGATCCTCTTAAAAAAAAAAACAATTAGATGGTTGTAGTGGTTTTTGGGTAGATCCCACTGATCGATTTGTAATGCCTCGTTTTTTGGCGTTTGCATTTTGTAGCGATCCTTATCGTGATACAAGAGAAGTCACAGACCCACAGACCTACAAAATTCAAGCTCTTTTCATTTGAGAAGAGATCTTGCAAGATGGTGCAGATGTTTGGTTGTTTAGTTACATTTTGTAGTGACTGGCGTTGGCTTTCGGTCAGGGCACTTCAAAGGGCACATGTTCTTGCTGTGCATTTTGTTGCGCATCAATGTTCATTTGATTTCTGTTTTGCCTTACTATGTCCCAAATACAGCGCAGCAACACCCAAGCGAAACCCGGGAAGCTATTCCACACATCTCCGAATCTAGCTGCATGGACATGGACGCATATCTGTAAGTAACAGCAAACGGTGATAGTCCAGAAAGTCGCGATTCTGAATTGTGCAAAACAGTGAACAGAACTGTCTTTTGAAAGTAAGAAATTATATAAATTAAAAAAATAGACGCAGGCGCCAGAAGAGCTGCTCGTGTGTGGTCTTGTGACGATCGATGACAGTAGGTGGTTGATGGTGGTTGCCATAGGGGAGGGACAAAGATTTCTTGAAGGGGATTTTGTAGCATTGGAACGCTGTAACTTGATTTTGTAGTAGACCTTTTTGGGCATGCAGTGGTCAGTGTAACTGAAGGGTATATTTGTGCGGTGTTGGTTGACTTTGCAGTGAACAGCAGAGTGGGAGCATCAATCGAACTGGATTGTCCAATCCTAAGGTTTGTGTGTGTGTGTTGTGCATGTTTTTCACAGTGGGTCGAAGTAGACGTGGCAGCGCAAATTCAGCAGTGATTTCACTCGAGCACTGCGAAAATGCTTTTTTCTACAAACTGCAACGGCCCGCTATTATTTAAATTGTAAACTATTCTGGGGAACTGGGGAAATATTAGTATTGAACGTGGAACCCCACAAATTCACTACAAAGTACTTTTAGGGCAAATCTGAGTGAACTCAGATATGCATGTTGGGCCAACTATTATCTCGCATACCTAACCACTACAAAGTACTATGACCCAGCCCATGGTTGAATCTGAAAACATATATGATCTAGGGTTGCTACAAAATGCAAAGGCACATGGTCCTGAAGGGACTGTAAAAACCGTTGAAAAATCAATTTTACAGAGGACCCAAGTCCACTAGTTTTATAGTTGAAATTCCAACCAGGATGAATATATACAGTTACAGTACATACATGTACAATCATGTACATACATACGTACTGTAGTATTTCCACCCACCGTCTTCTGCGCAGCTCCCAGCCACTTATTTTCCCATGATGCCGAATGTAAACACACAATGCCGCACATGCCACTTCTATCGGTTTTTGCGAATGGAATACTTGCTGTCATGTCTACATCTTAGAGTCTGACATGTCCGAACAGAGAGAGAAAGTGAGCATCATGAGTGATAGAAGCTTCAAAGCAGGTTCTTCAGTCGATCACTTGTATGAAATGATGGGCCCAAAATGATGCAAAACAGTGTGCGGCTTCAAACCTGTCAATGTTGGATGTTCCACTGTTGATATGCAAAGAAAAAGAACAGAAAGGGATCAACAAGACTGATACCCACAGCCAAGCGTCATTGAGCCGTCGAGCAAAAGACAGATCTTGCAGAAGTTCTGTTTGGACACCTGAGCACTCCAGAGATCAACAGCTTCTTTGTCACATCATCGTCAGATCTCGTATTTCCGTGGCTTGTCACTGGATTTTGGCCTGGATTTCACTATACTTTAATTATTCACAAGAGAAACACAATAATTCAAGATTAGAAACTAGAAATGGTTGGAACCAAGTGGGACTGTAAACTATCACGGCGTTTTAGTTAGATACCTAGAGCATCCTAGAGCACGTAGTGTAAGGTACTGAACCAGCAGTCCCCCGAAGATATGGCACTAGCAAAGTCACAAACAAGTGGCGCGAGGTCCAAAGCCGGGCATAAAGCATTGCCAGACATTACCACACACCAGTGGTTTCGTCTGAGCTCTAAGCGTAGAGGTAAAGGCTATCTTCTTTTTTTTACAAACCACCCGAAGAAACTTCCTGTAAGGCAGCCTTGCCAAGGGAAAAGATTGCACACAAATTAACTACACGTGCGTACACCTAGTGCCCCGTAGCATGGAAGTGTAATGAAGTGTAAAAGAGCGCAACAACGAGGTTGGATGAGGTTGGTATATGGAGGAGATTGGAGGAGGCAAGTGCTTTACGCATGCGGACTTGATGGAGTCTGGGCAGAAACAGTTGTGGCCTCCGTCTCCAAATCTGGACTCCAAATGCTTGCCCGCTCTGTAAGGGCCAACAAAAAACGGGAAACACGGCCAGAAACAACCAACACAAGCAAAGCACAAGCCAAGCACATGCAAAGACACAAGTGGGCCAGAGACATTACGCCCACGCATACGCCCATGTCAAATATATTCAAATATCTCATCCAGGATCACGGACAAGAAACCTCAAGAAACTATAATAAGCAATCAACCAACAATCAAGGAGCAACCGTGGTAAACATTTCGCACTCCCAACTGATTCAAAGCTGATCTGAAGAATCTATCGACTTATCAGCCAATTCTTTTTTCCAGTCAGCCCCCCTTTCTTTACGTCTCTTTCCTAAAGAACCAGCGTGTACTACCGTATGACACTTTATGTACAAATACGTACAAACAAATGCCTTGGACCAACAAGTAGTCAGCAGCCTGAAAACTGTTGATATTGTGAAAGGTTGCATTTCACTGCACTGCGGCACTGCAATAAAATCGTGAAAAT